TCCCCTCGCGGCTTCGCCCCTGGGGGCATCCGGCCGGGCTGACTTCTACCTCCCGCGGCGAGGTCGCGCGACGCTGCAGGAACATCCTGGAGCGCCGCAGCGGACAACTCCAATCGCTTTGGAGGATCACTCTTTGGCGGCCAATGGGAAGCATCACGCGGCGAACAACTTCAACCGCGTGAGGGCCCGCGCCCCGCTCGAAGAATACTCGGCTCAAGGTTAGCCCGGCGCCCCAGAAGTGCGCGGCGATGATGGGATTTCCTCTGCCTTCCTCCGCGCCCCCCCCCCCCCCCCGCTTCTCCAGCTCGACCCCCCCCGGGCTTGTTTCTCGCGCGCAATCAACTGAGACCGCGGGCGCGCCGCGACTTGGCGCCCCTACATTCTTCTCGAGCAATCTGCCCCACACTTAACTCTGACGCACTTTGGCGCCAAATTTGGTGAAATGAATAAACGGGATTGTTGCGAAACTCGACCTCGACCCGTCTCGGGCACCTCGGCCTCGTCTCCAATCGGCATCTCCCGCGCCGCTAGACTCACTGCCTCGGCCTCCGTATTCTCCGCCCTCCCCGCGTTCATGATGGCTGGATCTTGACCGCGGGCCCAGGCGGACCCAGCGGGAAGAGAGAGAGAGAGAGAGAGAGAGAGAGAGAGAGAGAGAGAGAGAGAGAGAGAGAGAGAGAGAGAGAGAGAGAGAGAGAGAGAGAGAGAGAGAGAGAGAGAGAGAGAGAGAGAGAGAGAGAGCGAGAGCAAGAGAGAGCGAGAGCAAGAGCGAGAGCGAGAGCGAGAGAGAGAGGATGGAGGGAGAGAGAGAGAGAGAGAGAGAGAGAGAGAGAGAGAGAGAGAGAGGAGAGAGAGAGAGAGAGAAGAGAGAAAAATATATATATATATATATATATACAGTGAGAGAGAGAGAGAGAGAGAGAGAGAGAGAGGGAGAGAGAGAGAGAGAGAAAAACAAAAAAAGAGAGAGAGAGAGAGAGAGAGAGAGAGAGGGAGAGAGAGAGAGAGAGAGAGAGAGAGACAGAGAGACAGAGAGAGGATGGAGAGAGAGAGAGGGAGAGAGAGAGAGAGAGAGAGAGAAAGAGAGAGAAAAAAAAATGGAAAGAGAGAGAGAGAGGGAGGGATAGAGAGCGAGAGGGAAAGAGAGAGAGAGAGGGAGAGAGAGGAAAAAACAAATGAGAGAGAAACAAAACAAACAAACAAAAAACAAACAACACCCGCCACTGGGGCCCCCTGCTTGGGAGAACGCGCAAAACTCCCACCGCGAACTTCTCTACTCTTCTCGCCCCTCCTAGCTCGCGGCGACTGTCGGGGCCCTGGTGATGGGCTGGAATCTGCCGAATTGCTCGTAGCGCGTCGTCTTTTGTCTAGTTGTCCCATGCTCGAGGGAAATGTTGGAACGCCCATCTTTGCATCGATCTAACGCTGCGGGGCCCCCGGCCTCGACCATCTCACGCGCAGACCCAAGTGCCTTTCTAACATCAGCTACTTGGATGATCATGCGCACCGTGGATCGTTGTTTCGTCGGGGCACCTGCGTATTAGCCCTCCCCTCCTCCGCCTCGTTTCCTCTTCGTGGATCCTTTTCGTGGCGCCATCCTTAGTGCAATTCTCCAATATCGTCCACGTTTGTAATGCGCGGGCCATTTACCTTTGGCTTTCCTTTATCCATTTCGTCCGCGATGTCAACTTCAATCATGCCCTCCGCGTTCCAAATCAACAAATTCTCGCTCTCGTCGTGAAATCATCGGCGCTGGGGTCCCAATCGCCACTGTCATCGTCGCGAACGTAGCCCATCTCCATCGAATCGGCGTTGTTCGCGTCCGCGTATAATGTTTGCCTCCTCGCCCAGTCTTCGTACCTGGCGAAGAGCTTGTGGTCGGTGCCAATCTCCAACGATTCTGAAGTCGTGATGCAACCCTCTTGCCAGTCGTCGAACCAATCACCCGCGCGAGTCATTATGACCCTCTGCGCAGCAATCCTGAGAGCAAATGCGACGAATAAGCAGACCCATGCAGTTCCATGGGCTCGACCAACGCACCCCTTTGTTCGAGCTGGGTCACCACATCGCTCACTTGTTTGAGCTTGTCGGTTCCCGTGGCTTTTCTTCATATCATGTGGAAGTGTGACTCTAGTAACGGCAGAATGCCAGTTGTGTATCTTCTCAAAGGCCATGCGCCCGTCCCGCCCGTCCCTTTCGTGCAGGCCCTTGGGCTTTCCACGTTGCTGGTTTTTTAATGTGTCGTTTAGCACATACCAGTGGTCCTCGTCCATTGTGGCTCGGTCGTCTTCAATGTTCCCCTAGAATACGTTTCTTTATGTTCGGCGATGGCGGGCGTCATGGAGTGTGGGGGGGAGGGGCGGGGAGAGTATAACGTAACGCCCCCCCCCCCCGCCGTGTGGCTCCGGCACCACAGCCGCGCCCGCGCGCACGACGCAACGAGCGACGAGCGACGACGACGACGACGACGCGAGCAGCATGTAGCTGGGGATTTGCCCCACTGCGCCTGCGTACGCCACTACGCTCGCGTGCACCACAACGCGCGTGTACACCACAGCGCAAGCGTACACGGCAACAACCGTATGCAGCGACGGGCCTGGGTACACCAGAGTGTGCTTGCGTACGCTACAGCGCTGGTGTCCATGTGTAAACCGCAGCAACCAAATGCAATGCTTGCGTACACCACAATGCTTGCGTGCACCGCAGCGCCTGTGCACGCCACAGCGCCTGTCCACACCACAGCATCCGCGTGCAACGCAGCGCTAGTGTACACCACACCGCCTGCGTGCATAGGACAGGTAAAGGGAGCACGTACGTGAGGGTTTGCTGCAGACAAATAGAGGCCACGCCAGGACAATGCTGATGATAGAATGCGACGTTTTTCCCTCCTCCTTCCTTCTCCACTTCCACCTCCTCATCCTCCTCCTTTTCCTCCTTCTCCTCCTCCTTACCCCCTGTCATGCGGCTTGGCGCTACAGCGCACGTGCGCATCTCACCGTGCACCGCACAATGGTCGATTGAATCGGTCAACTTGGTTCTCGGACGGCCTATTTAGGTGGAGCCTCTTGGACTCAAATGGGAGGAGTGAGGGTGATGCGGGCGGACTCGGGAAGACTCGTAGATTCCAGCGGCGCTCCTTTGTCCATAAGGTTTTTTTTTGTTTTCAGTGGAATCCACAAGCATTCCATTTTGTCATAAGGATTCCTTGTGACATTCGAAATACAACAGTGATGCTGTGTTGCACACGGTTGCTGTGGGGCACACAGGCGCCGTGGTGCACACAAGCACTGCAATGCACGGAGGCACTGTGGTGTACACAAGTGCTGTGATGCACATGGCGGATGTGGTGTACGCAGGCGCTGTGGTGTACACAAGAGCTGTTGTACCCGCAAGCACGGTGGCACAAACTGACGCTTTGTTGCACGCGGCCGCTGTGGTGTACACAGGCGCTGTGGTGCACGCAGGCACTGTGGTGTACACAAGCGTTGTGGCGCAGATCGCCACCTACATGCTGGTGCTACCCGTCTTCCGTCATTCCTTGGCATTCCCAGACGCCGCCGGCGCGAACCGTGACGTCAGCGACCCCCCCCCCTCCCCGAATGATTGCCCTCCAGCCGCGTCCGCGCGCACGACGACGATGAGTGCCGAGCGACGAGCCACGAGCGACGACGATTTGCGACGACAACGACGACGACGACGACAACGACGACAAAGACGACGACGACGACGACGACGACGACGACGACGACGACGACTGCGGACCAGTCTCCTATGCGGTTTCCTACGCGGACACCTACGCGGATCCCAATGCGCACGGCGGCAGTGACCAGAGCGCAATGGGGGGGGAACGTTACGTCACTACGGGGGGGGACGCGGGGGCCATGACGCCTGCAATGCCCCAAGCAATACAGAAACGGGTTCCTATTTCGTCATATTCCTACCTCTTGCTTCCGAGCGCCCTGGTGTATTCGCTTAACTTTACCCTCCGGCTCATAACCTCTATCAGCTCGTACTCTTCGTCGTCGGGTAGCGCCCATCCATCGTTTCGAAATTATTGTTCGAATCTTGTAGGGTTTTCCGCTACCAATGCTTCACTTGGCGAATGACCTCAACCGCTTTTCGGTCAATTGGCGAATGACCTCAACCTCAACCGCTTCCTTGGCGAATTGCTCACCTCCGCCTGTCCTGGCGTTTCCCGCAGACGGTACTGCCTCAACAATATTGGCAACATGTTCCGAGGTGCTCGATTGCTGTTGAAAGTATGTTAGCACGGGTCTTTGTTTCAGCTTATTGACCTGGCGCTCGCAGTACACTTTGCGGTTGCAACTCATCTGGGACACTGTGAGCGTTTCACCGCTGCCAAGAAATATAGTGTCCTGTGTAGCCCAGCGCTCGAAGGAGAACGCCATGCTTTCGTGGATGGCCTCGGATGTCGTGTTCACATGGTTCTCGCATCCAGCAGTGCACACTTCTGCGAATCGGTTCGTGCTCAGGTTGTACCAGTCCTCTCAGGCTTCGGGCAAAGTTGAATCGAAGCCTTGGTCGGCTGCGCCAGGGTTCGCTGATGCCGCTGCGGCTGCCGCTGCTGCCAGTGCCAGAAAAAATGCTTCGCCGACGTAACCACGCGCACTGGAAGCCGTGAGGCGAACCACGGGCTCCGCTACCACGAAAATGCGGTAGGATCCTCTCTCGTTTCTCCCTGGAGGCAGATCGCATGGGAGCCACATGCGCGATGTCGCATGATATCGCTTGCGCCTGGCTGACCAGCTGCTCCGCCAACTATCTTGCTGACCCAGCCAGAAGGCTATCAACTAACACTCTTACATCCTCATCCACCTCCTCCTCCTCCTCCTCATCTCATCCTTCTCCTCTCTCTTCCTTCCTCCTCCTTTTTCCCCGGATCCCAGCGTCCGCCTCCTCCTCCCTTCACCTCTCCCCGGAGGAGAGGGGGTGAGCAGGATGCCGAGCGGAAGCCCCGCGGCGGCCGCTCCCCGGCGCGCCTCGCCGTCGGGCGGGGCCTCGCCGTCGATCTCGTCCCAGGCGGAGCCTCAAGAGGGCGCTCGAGGCTCGGCCACGGGCTACCATTTGGTCGGGCATGTCCCCCGCACAGGCGGTTTTTGGACGAAACCAATACTCAAACCATACGTGGAACAAATCAGACATATTGAACAAATCGTCCCCAGAATATCTTCTGACTATGTTTGAATATTCCTCCTGTAGAGGGACAGGCCCGACTTAAGGCTACGATTACATCCACCGCGACCTCCTCCCCTGAGACACTGGCGTCGCAGTCTTTGTCACTCCAGGTGTGTTTGCCCGGCTTCGGGCCCGAGGATCGGGTTCGAAAAATGCCACAGAAAGAAAGGGTGCAGGGCTCTTGTTCAGCAAATATACATCTATATATATATATATATATGTGAATATGTATACATGTGTATATATACACATATAAGCGATGCTGCATGTGTTCGTGACGTCGGATATCAGGGTCTCTCCCTGGCAAACATCGCGACGGGAGGCTTTTCATGGTGTTCGGCCTCCAGGGGCCCTCGCAGGGCCCCGGGGCGGTCGGAAAATGAACTTGGGGTGGAAAACGAATCCCAGGGAAGAGGTCTAGACCACTGGAGCGCGTTAATTCATTTTCGGCGATAATGGGCATTATAAGGGGAGGGGTAAGGGGGGGTATAATGTAACGCCTCCCCCCCGCCGTATGCCCGATGCGCACGGCGGCAGTGCCAGGAGCGCACTGGGGGGGGAGGGGAGTTACGTTATAGGGGGGGAAGGGGGGAGGGGGCTATAAAACCCATTATGTCCCAAGCCATAAAGAAACACGCTCCTGGGTACTCACGCTGCGAATAGATCACGACGTCGGAGATCCCCCTGCGCTCACGGTCTGGACACCGAGGAGCAATGCCATGGATACGCGATCCCGCTACTGCGTTCCACGCGGGGTCGCATGGCGTCCGCCCTGCATCTGGTATGAGGAGGAGGAGGAGGAGGAGGAGGAGGAGGAGGAGGAGGAGGAGGAGGAGGAGGAGGGGGAGAAGGAGGAGGAGTAGGAGGAGGAGGAGTAGGAGGAAAGGAGGAGAAGCAGGAGGAGGAGGTCCAGGGCAGTGGACATGCCCCCACCCCCCGCCTACGGTCCGATGCTCGCTGCTTTGGGCTGTTCGGCGTCCTCCGACGTTCTCGGAGCATCCGGGAGGCTCCTCGCCCCCGCGGCTGGGTCCGCCTTCGAAGTGTCTGGCCAGAACGCACCACTGGAACGGTTGGGGTGGCGTTCTTTGAAGGGTGGTAAGGAAAAGGGGGGAGCAAGAGGAGGCGGGGGAGCCCACAGAAGAGGGAAGGAGGGGGGCATGAGGAGGATGTCAGGAACAAGAAGGGGCGGGACAGGCTCGCCACCCATAGCAGAGGTGAGGGAGCGGTCAGGGACACCGGAGGGGAGAAAGACGAATGAGGGCCGATTCACGGAGAAGAGGGGGGGGGGCCTTCCTGAACCCTACGACGACGAAGAGATGGCGGAGTGAGGAGGGCGGTAGAGGTTAAGGATGATGGATGACGGTATGTGTGTAGAGGAGAAGGAGTCGGATATTAAGGAGGAGGAGGAGGGCAGCGGAGGGAGGGGGAAGGAGGAGGAGATGGAGGACGGAGGAAATGAGATGGGCTTTTGAGGTCAGGAGGATGGAGGTGGAGGCTCTGGGAAGATGGAAAAAAAGAAAATGGGCAACCCATGCGCGATACCGGCACATTTGATCCTGCCACACCCACCCACACCTTCCCATTTCGTCGAATCGTATCCGCCGAATGGGTGCCCTAAGGGACCTTGATGCAACACATGGCAGTTGCAAGATATGGCACATCAGTTGCTGCGCAATCAGGAAGTGTATAACCGTTTGCACATAAGGAGAAGGAAAGGGGCATGAGGGGGATGAGCAGGAGGCGCAGGCTAGTGAACAGGCGCAGGAAGGACGAGGCAGAGTAGGAGCAGAAAGATAATGGCTAGGAGAAAAAATAAGATCAGCGGAGGAAGGGGGAGTGAACAAGATGGAAGGGGCTGGCAACGAAGAGGAACGAATCGGATCCAGACAATTTACCCGCGCTGAGGCGAGAACGCCGTTATGAACGGTGGAGGCAGCGCCACAATCCTGAAATGTGGCCAACGCTGAATCGGGAACATCACCTTTGAGGGATTGAGACCAGATCCCATCGAAAAATTCGCCGGCCCAACGGGCCAGGGCGTGCTAAGATCTCCGGTACCTGGTTAACAGTATTTCTAGTTCGCGCGCGCGGGGCGGCCCCTGGGGGTCCCCGGACGAAAAGTACCCCGGCAAGGTCCCGGCAAGTCCCCGGCAAGTCCCCGGCAAGTCCCCGGCAAGGTCCCGGCAAGGTCGGGTCAGAGATGCCGGAGTTCTGTTTCGGAGTCCAAGAGGGCTCCAGATCGGTCCAAGAGGGCCCCGAGAAGCTTTCTAGACGGTCCAAGAGAGGCCCGAGACGGCCAAAGATCGCCCGAAGACGCCCCAGATGGCCCCAAGACAGCCCAAGAGGCCTCCAAGACGCTCCAAGGGCCTTCCAAGAGGCCTCCGAAGAGGGCCCCAAGTTGCCAAAATCGTTGATTTTCATTGGTTTTTTCTATGTTTTTTTGCGTTCTGGCCTTTTCGCTTCCGGACGCTCCAAGAGGGCCCAAGAGGCCTTCAAGACTGCTCCAAGACGGCCCACGAGGCTCCCAAGACGGCCCCGGAGCGGCCCAAGAGCGCCCCCCAGACGGCCCAAGTGCCGCCCAAGGCGGACCAAGAGGCCCCAAGACGGGCCCAAGAGGGGCTCAAGAAGGGAACCGAGAACTGAAAAATCGAGCCCTCCCTCCGCCCCAGAAGGCGCCCAGGACCCCGAAAGAGGCCCCAAGAGACTCTCCAAGACACCCCCAAGACGCCCTATAAGCTCCCGTGAGGCCCCAAAAAAACCAACAACGTCAGGCCCCAGGCCCCAAAAGGACCAACAAATACCGCCAAGAGCCCGCCGAAAGCCCCCCAAGAGACCGTCACGAGAGCTCAGGAGGCCCCCTGGAGGCCTCCCGAGTTCTCCAAGAGGCCTAAAAGAGGCGCCAAGAGGCCCCAAACGGCGCCAACGAGGCTCCAAGAGGCCACGAACGCGCAAACAAACGCCTGCGATGGCACAATACGGGCCGGCGGAATGAGCGAAGCGATTAAATAAGCAAACCGATGCCTGAGATCCTGAGCGTGGAAAATTGTACGCGAAAGTGGCCGGAGCACGCTGGCACATTGTCAACGGAGCGAGGGCAACAGTACTCATAACAAACACTTGTGGGCGACGGCTGGCATGAGAGCGACGAAGAGAAACGGGTCGCACGCGGTGGCTTACGCGGGCCGCCAGCGCGGAAGCGTACGCACAAATGTCCGCGCACTGGAAGCCGTTTTTGTTGCGTCGCTGATGTGACGAGAGGAGCAGGGGATGGGGAGGAGGGAGGAGCGCGGCGGAGGAGAGGGGCAACGTGAGAGGCGGGACCATCTCAGCGGGGGGAACGTCGAGCTGGAATCGTCGATACATCGCCGATCGATCGGCGATAGGCCGCCGATAGCAAATCCGCACTCTCCTCGAAGGGCCCCTATCGGCGATGAATGGGCGATTGGAGGTCAATGCGTCCACCTTCAGCCAATCCTTCCCTAAACGTTGCCGCTCAGGAGGAAGGAGGGGGAATAGTACATGCAACGATGGAAAATGCCAGCCTCCGAGGAGCTGCTCCCACTCGGCGGCGTCGATGCCCGTCTCGTCTTCGACATCGTCCATACTTGCCGGGCAACTGAAATGAACCCACCCGTGCGATGGGGGGGCTGCCGCCAGGATTCTGCGACCCCAAGCAATGAGCGCACCCTACGCCGCTTGAGCCGAATCAGATGCAAACTCTCATGCATGCAGACAAATACACAATGAGCATGCGCGTGCGGGGGGCAGGACATCTATCTCTCCCTCCTCTCTCTCTCTCTCTCTATATATATTGCATGCCGAAACATGCTTACACACATCATATGGAATCGTTTAAGCAACGCTAGATGAACGAATGTACGTGTGTTTGCATCTTCGTCTCCGCGGCCCTGCTTCTGACACTATCACCGTCAATGTCGCTCTCCCTGTCTAGGTATATGTCTGTCTCTAGCAAGAGTCCATGTCGCTCGCTTTGCTGGTGTCTGCGTGAACTGCTGTTTGTGCGGGCTTAGTTATGAACGTAACGCACGTTTGATGACGTATATATGCATAGGAAGGCTAGACCGCTCCGTTTATCCTCGAAGCGCCTCGGATGGCCTGGCCCTCAAGGAGGTCAAGTTATGCCGCTGGCGCATGGAAGCAGTCGCGCAAACCACGTGCCTCGAATGCCCCCCCTCCCGTGCACTGTACCACAAGCTGGCGCACTGCGGTTTTTTCACAACCTACACCATGTTGTCTTCCACTCGCTTCATCGTTGCAGCACCTTCCTGGCATTAGCTACTGCATGCCAGTGCACAAATGACTGGTGCGCACTCGAAAATGGGCTGGCCTGTTGTTACTTCGACGGTGAACTGGAGGGAACACAACCTGACTATCCATACCTATACGACCACCCTGCGGGTGATAAGGATGCTGGCGGGGTGAGGGGGGCCAGCAACGGGCAACAGTGGTGATTGTTGCGTTGCCGCTCTCTCTTGGGAGCCTTGGTGTCGAGTTGTTTACGTCATCGATGGGACCATCGATCCCACTATCGATCTCACTCGATCGATCACACTATCGATCTCACTCTATCGATTTCACTGTCGATCTCACTCTGGATCTCGTTATCGATCCCACTAACGATCTCCATATCGATATCACTCGATCTCACAATCGATATCACTATTCATCTCACTATCGATCTCACTATCGATCGCACGATCGATCTCACTATCGGTCTCACTATCGATCTCACGATCGATCTCACAATCGATTCCGTCATCGGTCTCGTTTTCGCACCAGCGAGACACCGGCGGGACACCGCCCGCCACCGCTTGCCGGAGGGAGAATCATTTGGTCCGGCCAGGGCCCAGCCACAAGCGGGACAACGGCGGGACACCGGTGGGACACCGCGCGCCACCGCTTGCCGGAGGGAGAATCATTTGGTACGGCCGCGCCTCAGCCACAGGAGACTTTCCTCTCGCCCGCCCACGCAGTTTCGCCTCGCCCGCACGCACGGCACGCACGAACACGAAACCGAAACCGATTTACCAGTGGGGGGCTCTCCGTTCCACTTCGATCTCACCCCCCAACCTCCGATAAGACTGGGGCTGCCAAAAGAATTGCGTTACCGTCTTTCCCGCGCCCGCATGACAAATCAGTACTGTGTGGTTGTCTTCTCCTGCACGGCGGCGAATCCAAAAGAAAATAACGCGCTCACCCGATGCGCGCTGGAGCGGGGGACGGGGGTCCATGCCTCGGTTGCGAGGACGTCGCGGATGCTCCACGAGACAAGTTCCGGCATGGACCCGACACCTTTTTTCTGCCTCGCACATCTTGCCTTAAGTCGGGCGTGTCCCCCTACAGGCCGATTCTGGACGAAAAATTAAGAATACCCCCAAAAGTACACCAAAAATGACCAAAAATGTCAAAAATAGTCCACCGACTATTTTTTTACTATTTTTGAATATTCTCCCTCTAGAGAGACAGGCCCGACGTAAGTCTTGCCCGAGAAGCGTTCTGTACATGCTTCTGTCGTCTGCGGGCCCCTATCTGCACTGGGGCCGCGGCAGGTGCGGAGGACGTGTAGGCAGAGCCGTTCGTGTGGACCACAAAAAAAACATCGTGCGGCAGGCAGCGTCATCCCTACCGGGACGCGACGACTCTGCGCGACCGGAGGCGGTAACCCCGAGAGAAGGGAAACACGAGGGCCTCACGGCAAATGCAAGAAGCCGGAGTCAAAAGCGAGGGCCTGATGTAAAGACCGAAGACGAGAGCAACCTGCTCAGGGAGGGCCCTGCTGGGTGGAACGATAAAAAAAACTCAGTTGCAACAGCCCTGCCCCGAAACGGCCTCGCGCCGCAGCGGAAGGCCAGGCCTGTTCTGCGTGGGCTCTGCCTGCGCCGCGCTCGCCACCATGTCGCGGAGGAGCATCTCGAACGCGCCCTCGACGTTGTGCGAGTTCTTCGCGCTTGTCTCGACGAAGTGCACCTGTAGCTCTTCTGCCATCATCTGGGCTTCGTCGGTGGTCACTACTCGCTTGGAGACAAGGTCCACCTTGTTGCCGACCAGCATCTTCTGAGTGGAGGGCGATGCATACTTGGCGATCTCCTGCATCCACATCCGCACACGGCTGAATGACTCGCGGTCGGTCACGTCGTACACGACGATGATGCCATGAGACCCACGGTAGTAGCTGTTGGTGATCGTGCGGAAGCGCTCCTGGCCAGCGGTATCCCAGAGGTACATCTTGGCAATTTGTCCATCGATTGTACGCGTGCACACTTTGAAGTCCACACCGATCGTCGACTCGAAATCAGGCTTGTAGAAGTCGTCCGCATACCGGAGGAGAAGGTTAGACTTGCCAACGCCAGAATCGCCAATCAGAAGGACTTTGAACATGTAGTCGGACTCGGGGGCATGCGGCATGCGTGCAGGCAGTGCTGGCTTTGTGTCGAAGTCAAATCCCAACAGGCCCTTTGGACTAAAGTGGTCTAACGAATTCTTCCTCTCCTCTTCCAAACCCTCTTTCTTTCTGGGAGGTGCACCTCTCCCCCCCACCCTGGGTTGTTTGCCGGGTTGCGATCGGTCAGAGCGCTCAAGATGGCCCAAGATGGCTCCAAGAGGGCCTCCGATGCTCCAAGATGGCCTCCAAGATGGTCTCCGGATGGGTCAAGATAGCCAGGATGGTTCAAGATAGCTTCAGAGATACATCCAAGAGGTTCGACGAGGGCCACAAGACTATTACAAGTGCTCTCGGGGACCCCTCAGGACCCCCCAAAAGGCCACACCCCTTCAAAAACCTACGGAACATCAATGATGGTTGCCTTCTCGCCGTTTCGCTTCCGACGCGCTTTTGTGGTCTCAAGATGGCCGCAAGATGGCCCAAGAGAGGCCCAAGAGGGGCCCAAGAGGCCCCCACAGACGGCCTCAAGACTGCCCACGAGCGCCCCAAGAGAGTCCCAAAAGCGCCACAAGAGGCGACGTTGATGGCCCCAGGGAGGGGGGCAGAACTCGAGAACCCTCGCCCTTTCGATCGATAGCCTCCAAGATGGCTCCAGGAGGCCATCAAGGGCCCCAAGAGACTTCAAAAGGGTTCCAAGCGGGCCCTGAGATCCCCAAACAGAAACCCCAGAGGAACCCAAGATCCCCCAAAAGAATCCTCAGAGAGCTCCAAGGGGCGATGTTGAGGGCTCTGTCCTCGTCCTCGGTTTCATTGTCCTCCTCGTCCTCCTCGTCCTCCTCGTCCTCGTCCTTGCCCTCATCGTTTTCCTGTTGCTTGTCCTCCTCTTCCTCGTCGTCGTGGTCGTCGTCGTGCTCGTCGTCGTCGTCATCCTCCTCCTCCTCCTCCTCCTCCTCCTCCTCCTCCCCCTCCTCCTCCTCCTCCTCCTCCTCCTCCTCCTCCGTCCCTCGCCCCCTGCGCGGGCCTCAAGGATGGCCAGAAGAAGCTCAGCAAGGCAACCCCGCTGCTCCAGAAATGTCTCTGTTAACCCTGGTTGCCCGCTCTGTTTCTCTACATGTGTCTCTTCGTCCCTTTCCCCGTCGAATCTCATGGACAAGATGTGTGAGTGGGCTGGTGGGGATACTTGTTGGTCTGCGGGCTCGCGAAGCAGGTCGAAAACCGTCCAAACACGAGCCGGGCCGCGACTAGGCAGCAAAAATAAAGGCAAGCAAAATGAGCGCGCGGGCAGCCATTCAGAGGAAGAAAAGCCAGAAATAACGCTCCCAACTCGGTGGCGTGGAGACCCTGGTGGCGACCATCAAGTAGGCGCAGCCAAAATGGCGCGGCGGCGCGACCATGAACACGCAGAGGTCGATCACTCGGCGCGAGTCGGCACAAAGCCCGATGCGAGCAGGACCGACTGGCACACCCGGACGACGTCCGTGCCGTAGGCGACACAACAAGACCGTGTCAGCGCAAGAGTGAAGAGGGGCAACCTCGTCATAGACAGGACTGCAAATGGCAGTACCTCTTGTTTGTACAGCAATGGCACATGCCGAAAGCGAAATCCATGTAGGAGAAAGCAGCCGACGGGCGCACAGAGCCACACATCCCCAAGTCCTCGCACCGAAGAGGACGGCAGCGTAGCGAGACCCCAGTAAACCCAAACGGTCACTAGTGAAGGCCGACACCAGATAGGAGCAGGCCAGGGGCCACCAGACCGCCCATCCCCAGTGTGATCCTTGCAATGACTTCGTAGCGAGACCTCACGGACCCCCCCCAGGTCACCAGTGGGGGCTGACACCAGCCAGGAGCAGGTCAGGGGCCACCTGACCGCCCGTGCCCAGTGTGAACCTTGCATGGAACTCAGGCTGTCACACCACCATCAGACAGCGGAATAGGCGGCAACCCCAGCCGCGTGGGATAAACCCGGTGAGACGAGGGAGAGGAGGGGAAGTGCACGCCGGGCACGGTTGGCATCCCGTTGCGGCAGCTAGCCGGTGCGGCACTAGGGCGCAGGAGGGGAGGAAAGGAACTGCACGCCGTACGCGCGGAAGGAAAGGAGGGGAGAAGAAAAGAGACACGAGAAACGGAACCCCACTGAACCCTTTCGGCCATCAGCAGGCGGGGCGCCGACCTAAGACAGCCGGCGGGCACCTCACCACCCACGCCCGGTGTAACACTTTAGAGCAAGGCTGGCGGAGCACCATCCGACAGCGGTGTTGGTGGCAACCCCAGCCGCGAGGGAAAGTCCCTCTGAAACATGAGAGGAAGAGCCAGCTATCCGCCGACGCAAAAAGAGAAGAAGGAGAAGAGCTCACCATAACCCTGTGTAAACAGACGCGCACGCCAGGCGCTCTGCATCGAAGCATGCCTCAGCACGCCCGCCACTGTCACCATCTTGCCGTTGTCCTCCACGCGAAGTCATGTATAAAGCTGGGCTCGTAAAGCCAGGGGGCAGCGTGCAATCGCGATGATGAGGCCTTACGTTGGGCTAGCACATCATCCCATATGCGCCAGCGGGCGTGGGCCATGCATGCTTTTTGTTTGGCCGCACACTAGGTTCTGCAAGGGCCCGCCGACCCCCGAGAGTGAAACATCCCGGGCGCTCCTCAACGGGGCGCCCGGCAGGGGCAATCACGGCGGTCTGTCAGACTGAAGCCGCGCGGAGCGGTGACTGCGTAGGAAGCAGAAAGAGAAGGAGAGCAGGGGGAAGCCGCTGAACGCAGCATGCGTAGGAAAGAGAGTTCGCAATGTAGGCGCGCGGCGTAGCTATGTCCATCGCATACCAGGTGCGATGTCAGAGCTGTATCTCGCCGAAACTGGGTGGTGCCCCACACACACTCAGCATTGCTGGCGAGACCGTCTCTCGTTCCATGAACTCCATGGGCTCTCGGTTGCTCGGTTCCTCTTCCCAGCCTTGCCCAATGAATCGGGTCCGCCCTTCGTCTTGCATTTCCCCTTGCTCGGGTGCTCTCCTGCCGCGTGAACCTGGAAGCGGCGGCCCCGCTGCTGCTGGCAGCGCCTGAGCTGGCGGCGTCACTGACAGCCGTGACTCTGTCAGTTGGGCTGCGAAACTTGGCCTTGGCGCGCGCTATCTGGTCGGCGCGGCACGCGTCGTCATCTGCGGCCCCCCGCGCGTGGAGAAAATTCCGACGCGCGCCTGGCGGCCGCAGTGCTAAGTTGAAAGTCGGCCGGGCGTTGGTGGGGCAGGTTTTGGCACAGCGTGCAACCCGCAGGTCACTGAACATGCTGCCCAGCTCCGTCTGCGTCCTGAGGACGAAGGCGGCGTCGGACTCGCGGGAGTATTGTGAGCCGATCGTACGCAGTGGTGCCTTGTACATCTTGGACCCGTCGTTCTTCTTGGGCTCGTGGATGGTCAGTGGATTCGTGGGGAAAGGTGCCCATTTGCCATGATTGACTATTCCGTCGTTCCCCGCGCGCACGTTCTGGCGACGCCCGGCGTCGTCGCCAGACTGCGTATCCCAGCGGTCTGAGAACCTGTCGTAACTCCACTGGTCCCTGTCCGCGCGAGGAACCAGTCCTGTCATCAGCGGCGTGCTGAACGGGAGCATCTCGCTGTTCTCGTCTGCCGCTCTGTCCCCTGCCTCGCGCGTGCCCGTCTGCAGGGGCCCGGCGCGGCGGATCTCGCATCCTCGGCAGCGGGGGTCTATCGTCTGTGACGCAAGATGCTTCGTCGTCAGCCGTCCCGGCGATGTGACCATCGCCTGTAGCTGGGCTTCCTTCAGGCTCGTCTGCCACGTCCGCTTCAGACTTCTCGCTCACCTTGCTCGGGTCGTAGTCCAGGACATCGCCGTCAGGGTCCCTGAGTACGTCTGTGGCGGCAGCAGGCTCGATTCCTGAGCTGCTTCTGATCTCTCTCGTCGCTGTTCGTAGACCTTCAGGTCGAGACAGTGGCTGTCCGCGTAAGTCAGTGCCAGGGTGGGCAGGGAACAATTGCATCCCGAGAGAAGCGTTCATGACCACGCTGATCAAGGGGTCCTGCTTCTTCTCCTCATCGCGTATCCGTTGGGGGCCAGGGTCGCTCATGGCCAAGATATTTTCCTCGGCGTTATCAGCCAACGTGGCGATTCGCCCCGTGAGCTGCTGAAAGCACATTTTGTATGGTGCAGTGGTACGGCTTGGGACGGTTGGTCGAGGTCCAATCCCGCGTGGGCGCATGAATGTCCAATGCCCCCAAGCTAACGCGCTCCAGACGTAACGCATGGTCGGGGGCGTCCTCGATGTCAAGTCTGGTCAGCCAGTGAGCAAGTTCGTCTGTGCTATGGACCCTCGGGCCTCTGTCCCCGCGGGTGGTTCCGCTGACGCGTGCCACCCGCAGCTTCTCTAGCCGATCGCCCTTCCCGGCGAGGTGTTGCGCGACCAGTCCAGGGGCCCATCTTGGGAAGAAGCTGAACTCGGACCCGGCTGAACTCGGACCCAGCTGAACTCGGACCCGGCTGATCTCGGACCCGGCTGATCTCGGACCCGCTGAACTCGGACCCGGCTGAACTCGGACCCGGCTGATCTCGGACCCGGCTGATCTCGGACCCGGCTGATCTCGGACCCGGCTGAACTCGGACCCGGCTGATCTCGGACCCGGCTGATCTCGGACCCGGCCTGCCTCCGGCGCTCTTCCCGGCTCCCGGCTGGGGTTCTCCCGCCCGGCGCTTTTCCCGGCCTCTGCCCTGGGTGCTCCCGGCCCGGCTCCAGCTCGGCGCTTCCCTGCATGGCGGGCGTTTCCCCGGCGTCTCCCACCCGGCTGATCTCGGGCCCGGCTGATCTCGGACCTGGCTGATCTCGGACCCCGCTGAACTCGGACCCGGCTGATCTCGGACCCGGCTGATCTCGGACCCGGCTGATCTCGGACCCGGCTGAACTCGGACCCAGCTGATCTCGGACCCGGCTGATCTCGGACCCGGCCTGCCTCCGGCGCTCTTCCCGGCTTCCGGCTGGGGTTCTCCCGCCCGGCGCTTTTCCCGGCCTCTGGCCTGGGTGCTCCCGGCCCGGCTCCAGCTCGGCGCTCCCCTGGCCGGCGTCTCCCCGGCGTCTCCCATGGCTGATCTCGGACCCGGCTGATCTCGGACCCGGCTGATCTCGGACCCCGCTGAACTCGGACCCGGCTGATCTCGGACCCGGCTGATGTCGGACCCGGCCTGCCTCGGGCGCTCCTCCCGGCTTCTTGCTTGGGGTCTCCCGCTCGCCGTTTCTCCCGGCCTCTGGCCGGGGTGCTCTCCGCCCGGCTCCACGGCCCGGCGCTCCCCCGGCCAGCGTCTCCTCGGCGTCTCCGCCCCTGCAAATCTCGGACCCGGCTGATCTCGGACCCGGCTGATGACGGACCCGGCTGAACTCGGACCCGGCTGATCTCGGACCCGGCTGATCTCGGACCCGGCCTGCCTCCGGCGCTCCTTCCAGCTTCTGGCTGGGGTTCTCCCGCTACTGGCTGATCTCGGACCCACCTCCTGCCAGCTGCGATCCCGCCGGTCCTCCTGACTTCCGCTTCGGGTCTTCCGGCCGGCGCCTTCCCGCCTCCGGCGCTTTCCCGGTTGGCGTTTCCTCGGCGGTCTGGCCCTGTCTCGGCTCTCGGCCGGCGCGTTACCTGCGCTCAGCCGGCGGCTCCGTCTCCTCCCTAGCGCTCTCCTGGTGCCTCTATGTCCGCGGCGAGCACGCGAGAGCCCCATGTTGAAAAGTAACCTCCTTCCATCCCTGTCACTGCGACAGACGTTCACGACGATTGTCCGCGGCCATCAGGCGAGAGTTTTATTTTGGAAAGGAACCTCCCTCCACCCGTGTAACAGACTTCCAGACGATTGCACGCGGCGCTCAGGCGAGAGCCGCATTGTGGACACAAACTGCCCTCCATCGTGTAAATGTTGCACAATAGTACAGTTCAGGATCATACATGGCGATCGCACATGGCATGGGAGTCTCTGGCGAAACGCCTGCCTCCCCCCCCTACACACACGTCCGTGGCGCGCCAGGGAGGACTTCTTTTTAAGGGGAGAGGGTGGAGGAGGACGAGGAGGAGCGGGATAACATCAAGAACGGGAGCCGTGGCCGTCTTACGGGCTCTGTGGCCGCCCTGTTCGTGCGTGTGGGCGGTTTTGAAGGTGTCCTTGGGCCCAGGGCGGGCGGCCCTACAGCACTTCATCACTTCTTTCACATGGGCCACAGGGGCACGCTCAGACGCCCACGCCGTACAGGCATGCACTTGGATACTGACGTGCATTCTCGCGCGGTGGTTCTCAGGCTCAGAATGGCCATGGCAATGTCGACGGTGATGATGGCAGCGACGGCGGACTACGATTCCGACGGCGACGACTGCGGCCACAGAGACCATCACGACGACGACGTCGACGACGACGACGTCCTCTTCCTCCCTCCTCCCTGCTCCTCCTTCCTTCCCTCCTGCTTCCTCCTTGCTCCTCCCCTCCCGTCTCCTGTGCAGGAGACTCGGCGGCAACTGTAATCCCGGGAATGGGTTCCAGGGGATCTTTCTCCGGCCATTGTGGCCTTGCACTCTGCGTCTTTCAGGTGTGGCATGCGTTGTCATGATTGCGTTGTCATGCGTTCCATTGTTGTGCAATGCAGCGCAGCTCCTTCCAAGTTCCCATTCCACTGCCTTGCATTCTTCTGCCTGCTTCACTTCGATTTGCGATGCATTGCATTCCATTGCGATCCATAGCATTCGATTTGAGTCCTTTGTGGGTTTTCCATTACACCGCACTCACATCTATACCCCTGGGCGGGTGTACGTGCGGCCGTTTTTGCGGTGTCATGTGCGCGCATGTGCGCGGCATGTGCCAGTTTTGTGCCAGGCCTGTGCGGTCCTTTTTGGATGGACTTCCTACTGTGCACGTCGTGCCCGGGCATGTGCGGGGGCATGTGCGCTGTGTTTTGATGTATCCACCATACGCACATGCACGCACAGTCCGACGCACATGCGCGCACATGCCTGCACATGCGGGAGGTGTTCGAGAATCGCAGATCTGTCATGGGCACATGCACGCACATGCCTGCGCAACCTCTCTTCGGGAGGCCGCGCGGGCCCGCACATGCACGCACATGCGGTGAAGCGTGCGGGCGCACATGCGTGCACATCCCAATGCACATGCACGCTCATGCCCCAGGAGCTGTCTGGGACCCCTGTGCCTCCAATGCCTCCTGGCCTTCGCAGAGCTAACCTGGGGCGTGCCAGGGCTTCCTGAAAGAGTTTGTTGTGCGTTTAGACTCGCCCGCTGCTGGCGGGGGCGGTTCTTCGCCCGGTTCGTGAGCTGGCGGTGGCGCGCCCGCCTAATAAAATACTCTCCCGCGCGCCTTCTCAGCTCGGCCGGAGAAGCAGGGATGGGGGGGGGCGAGGTGGAGGGGAGGGGGAGGAGGGGGGGGCGGAGAAGGCGGGCGCCCCCGGCTCGGCTGGCCCGCCTGCCACTTCGGCTCGGCCAGAGGAGAAGGAGGAGGAGGAGGAGGAGGAGGAGGAGGAGGAGGAGGAAGAGGAGGAGGAGGAGGAGGTGAGAGTTGCGAGGATGTCTCAGGCGAAAGTGGCTTGACGGCCCGTCTTGGCGGCTTCTTGGACGGCCTCCGCGTTATTTTTGGCCGCCTCGGGGCTTTGTTCGGGCCATTTTGCCGGGCCTTTTCGGTTATTTTCTACGTCAAATAGCCAACCACTTTTCTACTACAGCACAGGCCCCGGCCGGTAGTAGAAAAATCGTGGCATCTAGGCCCGTCTGGACGGCTTCTTGGACGGCCTTGGCGCTATTTTTCGCTGCCTCGGGGCTTTGTTCGGGCCCTTCTGCCGGGCCTTTTCGGCTATCTTCGACGTCACATAGCCAACCACTTTTCTACTACAGCAACGGCCCCGGCCGGTAGTAGAAAAATCGTGGCATCTGGGGCCGTCTGGACGGTTTCTTGGACGGCCTTGGCGTTATTTTTGGCTGCCTCGGGGCTTTGTTCGGGCCCTTCTGCCGGGCCTTTTCGATTATCTCCTACGTCAAATAGCCAACCATTTTTCTACTACAGCACCGGCCCCGGCCGGTAGTAGAAAAATCGTGGCATCTGGGGCCGTCTGGGCGGCTTCTTGGACGGCCTCGGCGTTATTTTTGGCTGCCTCGGCCACCGGCGAGCTCGGCCTGTGCGAATACTGCGCGTACCTGTGCAGTGCATGTGCGGGACGTGCACGAATGCCGGGGCCGGCGTTCGTCTCCAGACGCCGGCGCGTTCGCGTCCGGCCAGTTCCGCGTGAGACGTCGTCGGCAATCTTGAGACATCCTCGCAACTCTGACCTCAGAGATCTCCTGCCCCATGCTGGTCAGGCCACGGTCGCCTGAGACATTCTCGCAAGTCTCGATTCCGATATGCCCCGAGCTGAGGTGGTCAGCCACTGTCGCCTGAGACATCCTCGCAACCCTGATCTCAATGATGCCCTGCTCGATAGTGTCTCGGCCCCTTTCGCCTGAGACATCCTCGGAACTCGGGGTTCCGAGACGCCCTGAGCTGAGGTGGTTAGACCATTTTACCTTTGGATATCCTCGCCCGAGATGCCCTGAGTTGAGCTGTTCAGGCCACTTTTGCCTGAGACATCCTCGCAACTCTGACCTCAATGATGCCCTGCTCCATAGTGTCTCGGCCTTTTTCGCCCGAACCCTCGCAACTCTGGGTTCTGAGATGCCCTGAGCAAGTGGTCAGGCCAGTCCTGCCTGAGACATCCTCGCAACTCTGGGCTCCGAGATGCCCTGGGCTGAGGTGGTCAGACCACTCTCCCCAGAGACATCCTCGCAACTCTGACCTCAGAGATCTCTTGCCCCATGGTGGTCAGGCCACTTTCGCTTGAGACATCCTCACAACTCAGACCTCGGAGGTGTCCTGCCCCATGGTCGTCTGGTCACCTTGACCAGCGACATCCTCGCCACTCTGGTTTCCAAGATGCCCTGCCCCATGGTGATCCGGCCACGCTTGCCTGAGACATCCTCGGAACTCTGGGTTGCGAAATGCCCCGAGCTCAGGTGGTCAGGCCACTATCGCCTGCGACATCTCTGCGGCATGTGCGGGCATGTGCGTCTATGCTTTCAGAGTTTTGCTTGACCGTGCATTCGACTGTGCGTCGGACGGTGTGGCATGTGCGCGCATGTGCGGCAATGCTGTTGAGGCTTTTGTATACTTGCATGGGCATGTGCATGCGACTGTGCGGCATGTGCCTGCATGTGCGGCCCCTTCCGGACCACAATTTCAAAGTGAGCACTATAGAAGTGAGCGCTATAGCAGTGAGTCCGGTGTATGCCCTCCGCCTACATCTTTATGTAGTCGCGCCATTCCCAACCCAACCACGTTTTCTTTCACAGGCATCTTGGGTCAAGCGTTTCCTTTCGATCGCACTGCCTTCTGCCAGCCATCCGGTCCCATGGCATCCGCGACCTTCCGAGCGCTGCCCTCTTGCTTGATTAGCCTACGGCGTCGAGAAGACAAGCGCGACGTTGCCTTCCAGGTGGCAGCCGGTCTGGGCATCGAGCCGACGTGGTTGGCGGGAACCGATGGGGATTCCCTCAAGGCACGGAGTGGGTATGCTAAGCGTTGCCAGGGCGGGCCGGGCGGCCGGGTGCTTTGCTCTTGGTTCGACGCCGCACACAAGACGCGCCGTATTCGGTATGTGCGAAATGCCAAGTCGAATTGGGGCACGCATTGGGGGACATTGGGCTGTCTGATGAGCCACGAGCGTGCTTTGGCGCAGCTCGAAGACGCTCCTGCCCTCATCGTCTTGGAAGACGACATCCGCCTGGCAATTGATGCCAAGGAGGCCTGCGCGATGATTGCGCAGGCTCTCCGTTGCATCCAAAAGGACCACAATGACTGGCTGATCCTGTACCTTGGCTGCTCTACCACTCGGTGGTCTGGGCCCTTGCGCAAGGTGCGCGGAGGGCCGGCTGGTTTGTGCTACGCCCGGCAGGCTTACCAGAGCCATGCGTTCGTGATCTCGCAGGCGGGGGCGGCGATTTACGGCGAATACCTTCGCAAAGGCTTCCCTGCGGACAACGCGCTGCTGAACATGGTGCGTCGGTTCCCCAAGATGTGCTTTGCCCTCGACCCTGTCGTGCTTACGCAGGAGCAGAAGCTCACGCAGAGCGACATCCGCGAGTCCACCGTGGCCTACCGGTCCGGCGCTCCGCGCGTGCGGAAAAGGGGCCACGCCAGCATCGCCAGGAGAAGGGCGTCGTTGCCGCAGGCGCAAGCTGCTGGGAGCGCAAGCAGGAAGGAGTGGCTCCGAAAGACGCGCCGAGCCAGCGCCAGACGCAAATCCAAGCGCACGCAGACCAAGGCCGGTTGTCGCGGGCCCCACACCCTGTGCATGTCGGGGTGGGCGTCTTGCTCCGCGGGCGCCCAGGCAAAAGTTGCGCGCCCCAGCGTCCGGGCGGCCATCGTGGAGCGATGGGGCCAGGCGACGGCGCTTTGCTTGGCCTGCCAGACAGCATCCTCCAGCCTCCGGCACAACCCGCCGCCGCACATTGTCCCCCACTCGGCATTTTCCTATGAGGCGTAAGGGTGACCCCGTCAATGTGTTCTAAGCGTTTCGTGCTCCATGGGCATGTCATGGTCCTCATGGGGGGCCTTTGCAAGGATGCCATGACTGCAGATTCGTGCGGCCATGGCCTGCTAATCGGCTCTCCTGGTCTGCCGCGAGTGTATCCGCTTCGACTCTTCCCCCGACCGCGCGCGCTCTTGAGCGCGCGCCGGGGCTCCCTCAGGCGCGGCCGCGCCACCCGGTGGCTTTCCGCCTCTTTCCTGCTCGCCATGGAGTCCCCAGCGCGCGGGCGCGCGCGCGCGCGATGGCCATGCCGCCCAGATGGGACGCACGGATCGCTTCTTCGTCTCCATGTCTCACCCCGCGCATGCCATTCCCTGCGCCGCCATTTCCCGCGCGCGGAGCATCGACGGGCCACCGCTGGGCATGCGCCAGTTTTGCGAATGCAGTCTTTTCCGTTTCAGCGACCTCGCGCCCGCAGCATCTCTCGCGCTTCCGCGGAGGTCCACGGGGCACCTGCCGCGCGGAGTCCGTTCTTTCTTGCCTGCGTTTTCCTGGCGGTGCGTCTCCCATGTGAGTGCGGAGTGGCAGCGCCCGCTTTCCCAGGCGGCGGACTCTCGCGTTCCGCGCGCGGGCCCGCGTCGGGGATTCAAGAGACACTCTCTGGCTCCAGCCCTGCGCGCTCGCCGCGCAGGGGCCGCCTGCCCGCTGGCGCGCCGCCGGGGAACACGGCCCGGTCCGT